TGTTTCATCCTCTTCAAAACAGAAAGGACAGCTTACATTTTGAGGTAGGGTGGGTGCTCAGATTGTGGAATTCTGGAACTAGCAGATATCTGGCCATTTGTTAAATGGTGGTGATATAAAAGTGGACAACTGCCTTCCACAGCCAAACAAGCCTACTTCCTGACCCTCATCAAGACCCTCTCCTCCAATCCTCGCCGACTCTTCTCCACCTTCAACTCTCTACTCTCGCCACCCCCACCTCCACCCAGCACTTCACTCACTGCCCTTGAGATTGCCAATCACTTCAAAAACAAGATTGACACAATTCGCAAGGACATTGCCGCAACTCACACGCCCTCTCAACCCATCCCCTCTCACACAGCTACCCCCCCTCATCCCCCCTCCCCCTCGACATAAGATAACCCGCAGGGACTTCGTCACTGCACAAACTCCCTCCAACCCCGTTCCCCCTCACTCAGCTACCCCCTCATCACCCCTCTCCCACGGCCCCACCACTGCTCTGACCTCCACTTCCACCCCACCCTACATTCCTCATACTGAAGCTCCCCCAACACTCCGCACCTTTGACCTTACTACCAACGAGGAAGTCTCCAAGATCCTCTCTGATGCTCGCCTCACCACCTGCCCCCTTGACCCTATCCCCTCACAACTCCTACGACCTCCCTCCCCCTCCATCCTACGCTCCCTCACCCACATCTTCAATCTCTCCCTCTCCTCAGGCACTTTCCCCTCCCCTCTGAAACATGCACACACATCACCCCCATACCTAAAAAGCCCTCCCTGGACCCCAATGACCCTAACAACCTCAGACCCATCTCCCTTCTCCCATTTACATCTAAACTCCTCAAGCGCCTCTTCTACACCCGCCTATGCTCTCACCTCAACGACAACCACCTTCTCGATCCCCTACAGTCTGGCTTCCGTCCCCTACACTCCACCGAAACCGCCTTACTCAAACTCTCCAACGACCTTCTAACCGCCAAAGCTAATGGCCACTATTCAGTGCTCTTACTCCATGACCTCTATGCGGCCTTTGACACAGTCGACCACCCCCTCCTCCTCAAAAAACTACACTCCCTCGGCCTCAGAGATTCTGCTCTCTCCTGGCTCTCATCCTACCTGTCTCAGCGCTCCTTCAGCGTTACCTATAATGCTACCACCCTCCCCCTCACTCCCCCTCTCTGTTGGGGTCCCTCAAGGCTCTGTCCTCGGGCCCCTTCTCTTCTCCATCTACACCTCCTCCCTTGGCCAACTCATACACTCTCACGGCTTCAACTACCACCTCTATGCCGACGACACACAAATCTATCTCTCAACCCCCCACCTCACCCCCTCGGTCTCTGCCCGAATCACACACCTACTGAGCGACATATCAGATTGGATGTCGCTCCACTTCCTTAAACTGAACCTCTCCAAAACCGAGTTTCTTGTCTTCCCCCCAGCCCGGACCCCACCCCCCCATTGACTTCTCCATCACATCCAACAACACCAATATCAAACCCGCCCTGCAGGCCAGAGTACTTGGTGTCATTCTGGACTCCAACCTATCCTTCCAGCCCCAAGTCCAATCTTTAACAAACTCGTGCAGACTCCACCTCCGCAACATCGCCAAAATCCGCACGTTCCTAACCCCAGAAACCACAAAACAGCTCATCCACTCCCTCATCATATCACGACTCGACTACTGCAACTCCCTCCTCACTGGCTTGCCTCGCCGCTGGCTATCCCCACTTCAGTCGATCCTGAATACGGCTGGCCAGACTCATTCACGTTTCCAACCGCTCCGTTTCCGCCACCCCCCCTCGGCCAATCCCTCCACTGGCTTCCGATTGCTTAACGAATCAAATTCAAAATCCTAACTCTGACCTACCACACTGCCCCGAACTATCCTGAAATATCCAAGTACCACCCAGCACGCACACTCCGCTCCTCACAAGACCTCGTTCTCTCTAGTTCCCTGGTCTCCTCCTCCCATGCCTGCCTCCAGGACTTCTCCAGGGTGTCATCCATCCTCTGGAACTCCCTGCCCCAACCCATCAGATTATCACCTACTCTCCTCTCCTTTAGGCGCACCCTGAAAACCCATCTCTTCAGGGAAGCCTACCCCACCCCCTGCTAACTTGACCGACCTCCTCCACTCTTCCTACCACTCCATCCCCCACAGCTATCTCCTCCTGTGCCACCATCCCCTCCCTCCTAGATTGTAAGCTTGAAAGAGTAGGGCCCTCAATCCCCTCATGTTTTGCATTGTATTGGTATTGTTCTGTCACATGTTCTGTCCCCCTTTTGTAATGCACAGCGCTGAGCGAACTATTGGCGCTTTATAAATACTGTATAATAATAATAATAATAATAACATGTATGAAGCCTTCTAAGCACTGTGGATCTAGAGAAACAGTAATGATGAGTGTGGTGCAGCTGGTAGTCACTGTAGTAGACAGTGGGGGTGGAGTGTTGTGTTGATCAGTGTGGGTTGGAAGGCCAGTGATCTTCAGTACATATACATTAAATGCCTTGTTTATGGCTAGTCATCAGTCTGGGATCATTGAAAGTGGTCTTCAGTTCAGGTTGTCTACAGACCTTTGAACAAATGTTTTGGCTGTACTCAATATCATCTACTTTCCCATTGCTTTAGTATTCTTGGACTAGATCACAGAAGAGTCCACCCATGCCAAGTCTCACACTAGGTCAGACGTACCTCAAACTAGGGCACGGATAGTCCACCAATAAAGCCTCACACTAGATCACAGAAGAGTCCGCCTAGACGAAGCCTCACTGCAGCGGGACCGAGCCTCACTGCAGGCGGGACCAAGCTCCACTCTAAATCACAGTAGAGTCTGCCCAGACCAAGTCTCACAGAGGAGGTCTGGGTGGACTCTTCTGTGATCCAGCCTGTGATAATATAGTTTTGTACGAACTTGCATCCACATTGCGGGCTCCAGAAGCCTCACTCTAGGAAGCCTCACTCTAGAGCCTCACTCTAGGCGGGGCCAAGCCTCACTCTAGGCGGGGCCAAGCCTCACTCTAGGCTCCACTCAACATCAAGCCCCTCTCTAATCACAGTAGAGTCTGACCCAGACCAAGTCTCAAACTAGAGTGAGGATTGGTCCGGGTGGACTCTTCTGTGGTCTAGTCCTGTGATAATATAGCTTTGTAAAGGCTGATGTAATTGGTGTGCGGCCAACTTGTTTGCTCATTCTATGTAGGGAGCATTGACTGGCTCCATCGGCCAACACTCAAAACCACAGAGATGGGTGGATTGTGGGCTTTGAATGGCAATTGCCTTTGGCATTGCCTACAGATCTTTTCCAGTCTGGAAGAAGAATGCAGATGAATAACTTCCTTTTTTAAAGAGAGTTCTTCGTAAATAGTAGTTGAGGGAGAAGTTGGGAAAATTGGTATTTGGAAGGTGGTGCAGAAGGTGGAAACCTCAAAGGAATAGACTGGATGAGATTGTAGTTACAGAGCTAAAAGGAAGAGTGTTTTTTAATAGGACATGATCAGACTCATTCTGTGTGAGAATAACACTTTATCAAAGGAGTCACAAGGATCTTGTGAAGGGTATTAAAGTGACACTAAAGCTTTTTTTTTTTTTTTTCTCTTCCTAAAATAACAAACATGTCTATACTTACCTGCTCTGTGCAGTGATTTTGCATAGAGCTGCCTCGATCCTCTTCTTTTTGGGTCCCCACTGGCATTCCAGGCCCCTCACCCTTGAGCAGTGCCCCCAGGGCACGCCGCTCACACTGGGGGCACCACTGTGTACTTGTCCCTAAGCCAATGCTGTATGGGTCCATAAGACACATGGAGCCACAGCTCGACTCGCCCCCGGCTCTTTACTTGTTGGCTCACTGGCTTTGTTTGACAGCAGCAGGAGCAAATGAGAAGGAAGAGTCCCCAGACAGCAGAGGCTGTCATGAAGGTCGCTGGATTGGAGGGTTCTCTAAGGATTGGGGGGCCTAGGGGGGTTGCTGCACACAGAAGTTTTTTTTTTTTTTACCTTTATGCATAGCATACACAAAGGTAAATAACCTTGAACCGTTAGGACCACTTTAAGTCAGATGAGTCACAGAACACAGATCTTACCACTTATTGGATCCATTCAGTAATGTGGTGCAAAGTGCAGTGACTTGTGCAAACTTGAATGGGATTCCCTATGCGCATATGTCATGGCAAAGAAGCTCAGGGACAAAATTTTGGCCCTGAGCAAGGCGTGTTTTGTTGCTTGACAGTCACGACAAAATCGCATCACGTTTGGGGTGCCATTAGGAATGAATGAATGAACGGCATTCACCTGTTGCTTGTTTTGCAGTGATTTTAGCACTGGCTGGAATTGCAGGCAGAATTGCACTGATTCTGATTTCAGTTATGAATCGCTAATTGTTAACGGGGCCTTATTGTGATTGCTAACAGGGAGCAGAGAGGGAGACGTCACACCGCAGAGAACAGAAATATATTCCTACTGTCTGTTAGTGTAGCAGTATGAGGTCTGGTTACAGGGTAGTACACCAAACTCGTATTAACCACTTTCCCTCCTGAGGATTCCCCCCCCCCCCTTTCTGACCAGGTCATTTTTTGTGTTACGGCGCTGCATTACGTTAACTGACAATTGTGCGGTCATGCAACGCTGCACCCAAATTAAATTTACGTCCTTTTTTCCCACAAAAGGACGAAAGAGCTTTATTTCGATGGTATTTGATCGCCTGTGCGTTTTTTTTTCTTTTTAAATATTTTGCGCTATAAAGAAAAAAAGACCAACAATTTTGAGAAAAAAAAAAACTATTTTTGATTTTTTTGCTATTAAACATGTCCAGTAAAAAAATCAAATCAAATTTCGGCATAAATTTACATCAAAATGTATTCTGCTACATGTCTTTGCTAAAAAAAAAAAAAAAATCCTGACACATGTAAATTAATTGGTTTTCGTGAAAGTTTACAAATGGCGGTATATATACTGGGATTTTTTTATTTTTACTAGTAATGGCAGCGATCAGCGACTTATAGCGGGACTGCAGCGGGCATTCTGACACTGGGAGGAACTGTCTTGGTGTCACTGACACCCCCAGTGACACCAATACAGTGATCAGTGCTAAAAAAAAAAAAAGCACTGACACTGTACTAATGGCACTGGGCAGGAAGGGGTTAATAGGAGGGACGTTCAAAGGGTTAACTGTGTGCTGGGGTGTTTTAATAGGGGGCGGCATCTGTGTGCTTCTCTGTAATCACACTGCTTTGGATGGCTGTGCTGTGCACAGCCATCCAAAGCAGTGTGCTTGAGCCGACAGGGAGAATTGTTAGTAAATAAAACAGTTATCCACCCTGTCAGAGATCCTCGGAAATCACCGGGCACCGACGAGTAATCACCAGCCGTGACCCAGTGATTAACAGCCGCGTAAATGCAAAATCACGTACACTTGTGTTCAAAATAATAGCAGTGTGTTGAAAAAGTGAATAAAGCTCAAAATCCTTCTAATAGCTTTTATTTCCATACACACAAATGCATTGGGAACACTACACATTCTATTCCAAATCAAAACATGAAGAAAAATATATCAATTTGTGTTGTTCCTCTAAAAAAAAATGAAGAAAAGTGAATATTAGACTGTTCAAAAAAATAGCAGTGTTTGTATTCTTCTTTACAAACTCAAAACATTCACTATATAAACTGAAAAATGTTTGAAGATTTTTCTTTCCTTTGAATCACTTAATGAATATTTAGTTGTATAAGCACTGTTTCTGAGAACTGCTGTACATCTGTGTTGCATGGAGTCAACCAACTTCTGGCACCTGTGATCAGGTATTCCAGCCCAGGATGATTGGACTACATTCCACAGTTCTTCTCTATTTCTTGGTTTTGCCTCAGAAACTGCATTTTTGATGTCACCCCACAAGTTTTCTATTGGATTAAGATCCGGGGATTGGGCTGGCCACTCCATAACGTCAATCTTGTTGGTCTGGAACCAAGATGTTGCATGTTTACTGGTGTGTTTGGGGTCGTTGTCTTGTTGGAACACCCATTTCAAGGGCATTTCCTCTTCAGCATAAGGCAGCATGACCTCTTCAAGTATTCTGATGTATTCAAACTGATCCATGATCCCTGGTATGCGATAAATAGGCCCAACACCGTAGTATGAGAAACATCCCATATCATGATGCTTGCGCAACCAGCTTCACTGTCTTCACAGTGTACTGTGGCTTGAATTCAGTGTTTGGGGGTCGTCTGACAAACTGTCTCCGGCCACTAGACCCAAAAAGAACAATCTTACTTTCATCAGTCCACAAAATGTTGCGCCATTTCTCTTTAGGCCAGTCAATGTGCTCTTTGGCAAATTGTAACCTCTTCAGCGTGTCTTTTTTTCAACAGTGGGACTTTGCGGGGGCTTCTTGCAGATAGCTTGGCTTCACATAGGCGTCTTCTAATTGTAACAGTACTTACAGGTAACTTTAGACCTTCTTTGATCTTCCTGGAGCTGATTGTTGGCTGAGTCCTTGCCATTTTGGCTATTCTTCTATCCATTGAATGGTAGTTTTTAGCTTTCTTCCACGTCTTTCAGGTTTTGGTTGCCATTTTAAAGCATTTGCGATCATTTTAGCTGAGCAGCCTATAATTTTCTGCACTTCTTTATATGTTTTCCCCTCTCCAATCAACTTTTTAATCAAGGTACGCTGTTCTTCTGAACAATGTCGGGAACGACCCATTTTCCTCAGGATTTCAGAGAGAAATGCACTGTAACCAGCATGTACAACATTTGCTGCCTTCCTTCCTTAAATAAAGGCAATAATTGCCACCTGTTTTTCAAAGAATGAATGACCTCAGAAATAGAACTCCACACTGCTATTATTTTGAACATGACCCTTTCAATTAGTGATTCAATTACACAGAATCAGCAGCATGCATGTCATGACTGTTGGGTCTGTTGGATTTCTATTACTCTACTACACCTGCTAGTAAATTATTTGCCATGTAGAAATATAATTTCTACCACAAACAGTGATTGATCAGGTTAGTGATGTCTGACTGCTATTATTTTGAACACAACTGCGCGTGTGTGTGTATATGTATGTTATATATACAGTGGGGATCGAAAGTTTGGGCACCCCAGCTAAAAATTTGTATTAATGTGCATAAAGAAGCCAAGGAAAGATGGACAAATCTCCAAAAGGCATCAAATTTACAGATTAGACATTCTTATAATAGGTCAACAAAAGTTAAATTTTATTTCCATCATTTACACTTTCAAAATAACAGAAAACAAAAAAATGGCGTCTGCAAAAGTTTGGGCACCCTGCAGACTTAATATCTTGTACTGCCCCCTTTGGCAAGTATCACAGCTTGTAAACGCTTTTTGTAGCCAGCCAAGAGTCTTTCAATTCTTGTTTGAGGTATCTTTGCCCATTGTTCCTTACAAAAGTCTTCCAGTTCTTTGAGATTTCTGGGCTGTCTGTCACGCACTGCTCTTTTAAGGTCTATCCATAGATTTTCAATTATGTTGAGGTCAGGAGATTGTGAAGGCCATGGCAAAACCTTCAGTTTACGCCTCTTGATGTAATCCCCCGTGGATTTCGAGGTGTGTTTAGGATCATTATCCATTTGTAGAAGCCATCCTCTCTTTAACTTCAGCTTTTTCACAGATGGCATCAAGTTACCATCCAAAATTTGCTGAAATTTTATTGAATCCAATTTTCCTTCTACTCGTGAGATGTTCCCTGTGCCACTGGCTGCAACACAACCCCAAAGCATGATTGATCCAACCCCATGCTTAACAGTTGGACAGAGGTTGTTTTCATTAAATTCTGTGCCCCTTCTTCTCCAAACGTACCTTTTGCTCATTCTGCAAAGTTCAAACGCCAAAAAGTTAAATTTTAACCTCATCGTGTCCACAGAACTTGTTTCCAAAATGCCTCAGGCTTGTCTGATATGTTTCTTGGTCTTCCAGATTTGCAAAGTTCAAACGATGATTTTTGTGGCTGAGGACGTAGAAGTTTCAGTTTTTTTCTAGACAACTGGTTTTCTTTGTTGGGGCTCAGATGACTCATTCCATGAAGACCATATTTCTTACAAGTATCTCTTTATAGTGGAATAGTGTACCACAACTCCAGGGTGTCTGCCAGATCTTTCTGGAGGGAAATAAAATCTAACTTTTGTGCAGTCAAAAAATGTGGTAATTTTTGATGCCTTTTTGGTCGATTTTTCCATTGTTTTTCTCACAATCCTGCGAGCTGTTCTATGTCTGATATATTTTCTTCATGGTCTTCCAGATCTTGGTTTAACTTTGCCACTGTTCCACATGATGACTGCCATTTAATGTCACACAAAACCCCAAAAATAATTACATTAATATTTGGTTGCCGAAAACATAACTGAGGATATTGAACATCTGAAAACGCTTTGCTATCTTCTTATAGCCTTCTCTCACAGGCTTTTAGTGAGCGTCAACTAGCGCTTTTCAGTTTTTTGACGTAGTTTCCTCTAGACAACTGCTTAGAAGAACCTGATATATATATATGATTTTGTGCACTCGTGCCACCCTGTAGCAGTATTTCTGCTATAGGGCGGTCGGGAAGCGGTTAAAGTAACCTTTGTGACTATGACTTCTGCATAGCCGCAGGTTTTTCTGGACACCAATAGAAGCTCACTGATTACCATCACATATTGCCTGGAATTGCTCTTTAAATGGGATTGCCTGTGTTTATTATGGTATGGCCATATCTGTTAATGGTTTATCTTCTTGCATTTGAGTTCAGGGATAGTTCTAAGGATATGTGTCCAGCTTCTTGAGAATGGTTCAAGTGTAGTAACATGTCAACCGGGGAATTAGCATTTGCAGAGAGAACAGCTCTAGTATATCTCTTAGTACAGGTTTTCTGTAAAATTGATACTTTGCTGTACAGTAATGAGAAGTAGAAGGTTGGTGCTTTCCAATCCTCAGGAGTTCTATCACGGTTGGTGATTGATTGCTCACAGACCCCTTGAGGCTAAGTGGTTTCTGTTAATAGCATCTTCTAGACATAAATTAATCCTTGTTTGGTTCCCACGGTTTCTTCTCTTTCTGGTGTAGCTATCGGACTGGAATCGGTTAAAAGCTCTTAGCGTCAAATATGTACGAACTCAATTTTAGCAGAACTTCTTGTTCCTAAAATGATTCTGCAGGCATGAAATTATTTTTAGGGTACTTTTTTTTTTCTACAAAGTAATTGCTTCTGTTAGTTGTTTTATCACCTGCTTCTTTCTGATGGAATCTGGACAAATTGTGCCATAAATCTTCTCATACAGCCCATACAGGCAACTTTAACATGCAATGAATTATTCATATGTAATTGCAGTTACCATAAATGTTTAAACCGAAGTGGCTAATACTTACTCGCTTCTATAAAAGCCTTTGCCTGTGTTGTCTGCTGGAACAGAAGCCATGAGCCTCTGCTAGTCCTACATATTTCTCCTCCTCCATAGAAACAAACATGCGTGCTTGGCCTGAGCTGGCATGTTTGTATTCTCAGCAGGCCATCCGTGCGCTTGACGTAGATCAGATCATACATGCAAATTCAGCATCCCTTCTCATTCTTTGAATATCTTAGAGACAATGTCACCTTGCTCTTTCATTGTCCTTGTAGAGACCTCCAACCCCCCTTGGCTCACAAAAGCTGGCCATACGTGGATCAAAATACAGCCAGTTCAGCAGGGTCAGCCAAATTTGAATGCATGTATGGGCAGGGGGGATTACAGAAGTTGATTTGCAGATAAACTTCTTTACAACCTCCCTGTTGGATTTTCCATTCTCTGTCGGTGCTGCAAGCTATGGTCCGCAATGCTGATCAGTGTATTCTGATGGCGGGGAAGTCTCCTTGCTATCAGAATACAATAGCTCAGTGGGGAGTTGAACCTAAAAAAATTGACTCATTTTATGGGCTGCCTTAATTCTTAAGCTGGCTGTACACTGATCAAAATTCAGTAAGGGACTGGTCAGATTTGGATCATTGTGTTGGCTATGCCCACTCCACACATTGATTTTGGAAAATGTTCTCGATCAGTGGCTGTAGTACCTACAGAACCTCTAAATCATTGGGCCTGTGAATATGTTTTGTGTAGCGGGATAAAAAACCGGAGAGAAGATTGTAGTTCCTTTTTAGGTCACTATATGGATGTGATAAATGACATTCGTGCTATGACCATTTAATTCCCAGAATGGACCTGTAATAACCTGTCAAACACCTTTTTGGCATTTTTCAAAACATTGCATGAAATCTGAAGACTGTTTTCTTTCTGATTTTCTGTCAAGATTCGAGTTCCATGTTTGTGGAAATCTGTCTCATTCCCAAATTCTCCATTAGAATCTGCCATACTGTTTTCCTGTTCATGTTCAATTCTTCTGTCATCATTTGCACATTCAGTCTCCGATCTTGAGCGCA